AAACCTTGTGTGACATTTCACTGATAACCTTGTGTACTTTTCATATATAACTTTTTTTACATTTATGGAAAACTTGGGGGATTTTCCCAGTGATAACCTTGTGTGATATTTTATGTGATAACTTTGTGTGATATTTCATGTGATAATTTGTGGGATTTCCCATGTGATAACCTTGTGTGATATTTCATGTGATAACCTTGTGTGACTTTTAATGAAAACCTTGTGTACTTTTCATGTGATAACCTTGTGATGTTTTATGTGATAACCTTTGTATATTTTATGTGATAACCTTGTGTGATATTTCATGTGAGAAGCTTGTGTGACATTTCATGTGATAACCTTGTGTGACATTTCATGTGAGAAGCTTGTGTGACATTTCATGTGATAAGCTTGTGTGACATTTCATGTGATAATCTTGTGTGACATTTCATGTGATTAGCTTGTGTGACACTTCATGGGATTATCTTGTGTGACATTTCATGTGATAATCTTGGGTGACATTTCATGTGATGATCTTGTGTGACATTTCATGTGATTATCTTCTGTGACATTTCATGTGATAAGCTTGTGTGACGTTTCATTTAATAACCTTGTGTGAAATTTCATGTCATAAACTTGTGTGATGTTCCATGTGATAACCTTGTGCGATATTTCGTGTGATAACCTTGTGTGATATTTTATGTGATAACCTTGTGTGATATTTTATGTAATAACCTTGTGATGTTTTATGTGATAACCTTGTGTGACATTTCATGTGATAAGCTTGTGTGATGTTCCATGTTATAACCTTGTTTGATATTTCGTGTGATAACCTTGTGTGATATTTTATGTAATAACCTTGTGTGATGTTCCATGTGATAACCTTGTGTGATGTTCCATGTGATAACCTTGTGTGACATTTCGTGTGATAACCTTGTGTGATATTTTATGTGATAACCTTGTGTGACATTACATGTGATAACCGTGTGATGTTCCATGTGATAACCTTGTGTGATATTTCGTGTGATGACCTTGTGTGATATTTCGTATGATAACCTTGTGTGAGATTTCATGTGATAACCTTGTGTGAGATTTCATGTGATAAGAGAAATTGTTTACCTGTCCTCCACAAGTAGCTTCTACAGTCAACTTGTAGTTAATACCTGCAACTACCTGTAAATATCAAATTTGTACATGTGTTAACAAATCCTAAGCTTCATTCTTTGATCTAATAAAAACAGAATATTATGATAAATTAATTATTTTATAAATACAAAACATACCATAACAGTAAAAAACAATCTTTATTTAATTAACTGACTTCAGGTTTTAAGACCAGTTCAATTTTTGTTTTGTCTTAATTGCAATTTCTTTTACAAAATGAATTAATTTTGATGTTTTGATGCTATAATTCTAAAACCAATAACAACATTGAACAAAATCATCTGAATAACTGAACTGAATAAGTGGATTAAGACAATATATTGTCTTTCATACCATCTGACAATTCTGTAAAAAAAAATAAAATAATAAAATTGATGGACTAGGTGTGCTAGTGGATTGATATCATACGCTATAATAAAAGCCTGAAACCTTACAGAATTCATAAACAGTAGTATTTAACATGTTTAATCTATAAAAGAAAAGACTTTTTAAAATACATGACTGCCATACTGTCTTTCACATTCTCCATTTAGCAAAAAATATAAAGCTGCCAGTGGAGAAATTTTTTTTGTATATACCAACACGATCAAGTAAATCTTTAATTAGACCTTGTCAAAATTGCCTTTGAATTCTACTTCCTAAACAATATGATAAAATGATCCTAAGTTCCTGGCCAAAAGTGTGTGGATTTCACTTTTCTTCTTGGTTTAATAGGTACACAATATGACAATCAATCTATCTTCAAACTGTTTATTTTCAGTCAAAAAAAAAGAAAGGAAGGTAGAATGGTACAAAAACATCTCCTGAGGGGCATAACTATTCTCTTTAGAGAAGTGGACAGGCTTTCATTTACATCCAGGATGTAGGTGAAGGTCTGTCCACTTCTCTTAAGAGAATAGGTTCTCTAAAGAGAATAGGGGCATAACGTACTCAACATGCAACAATAGTAGCTTATACCCCCCCCCCATCCATAAGTACGGAAAACACGATTTCGATGATCAGAGATGTACTAGTTGTTGTTTTTTACCTGTGTACTGGCATGTTTAACTGTAAAGGTTCCATCACATGACGAGACGTCGTGTGATTTGGCTGCATATGCATTGAGCGCAAACTGGGCCATTTCTTGTACAACTGCGTTAGCGTCAACATTATCGAGTGGGCAGTATCCTCCTGGCATACAAGCTGCAGATACGGACGCCACCAAAACACATGATATCAAAAAAGTTCTCATGATTATAAATTCCCTTGTCACAACTCAGGGACAGTGAAAAATAACTAAGAAAGTGAATGTCTATCTGAGACTATCACTTCCTTTACATGTTTATATACACCTAGCGCCCTCTATTGCCCAATATCAAGTCAGGAAAGATAACCACCTGTTCATTTTCCCGCGGCCTCCAATCAGACTCGGAATTCCAATAATAAAACGTTTCGTTTTAATCTGTAGGATGGTGATGACGAAAAATTAATTATCATTTTCAAAAAGAGGGCTTGGGAGCAGAAAAACATTTTCTATGAAACAGTTAAATAATCAATTACTCTTTTTTTAAATTTATTTTAATTTTCATTGTATTTATGTATCTATATCTACAATATTACAATGTAGTACATATATTTATTTATTTCTTATTAATTAAAATATACTTATTTCATTTTAGTCTAATATATATCAATTTTCTCAACAAATATCAAATTACGCTCATAACATTTTATAAGACCCATGGTACGTATAAAAATTATCCGTCGATGAAATTATAAACATGATATAACACACTTTTTTATGCCCCCGTAATCGATGAGTGGGTGGGGCCGTGGCGTCACGGCTTTCAATTAATTCCATGTCACAGGTTTTTTCCTTGTGACAAGATCTTCTTTGGGTACCAACAAATTTGACCTCTTCATCTTGGGGTTTTTCCAAGTTTACCAAAAATTACCACGCCTTTGTCATACCTTTTGATGAACAGTTGCTAGGATTTTCCAGCGGTACTTCACATGAGTATTGTGACAAGACCTTTCAGGGAGTATAAATTTTGTACATTTGACCTTGACCTTAAAGTTTGACACACTTTTAAAAAACTTTAACCTTCGTCATAACTTTTGAACAGTTAGAACTAGGACTTTTGCAAATTCATATTTCAAAGGTGTTTTTTTTTTTTTTTTTTTTTTTTTTGGTGACAAGACCTTGCTTTAGACACTAACACTTTTAACCTTTTCGTTTAGAGTTTGACTGTCATTTACAAACTTGACTCTCGCCATAAGCTGTCATACGCGGACATCAGTTTTTCACAAACACTTCTTGTTGTATATATTATATGGATCTTCATTCCATTTTTCTGCCGTAAAGTTTATAGGGAAAACTGAAGGTAACAAACAGTGATAAATCAAGAAAAAATAAATGCAATCTAAATATACAGAGAAAATCACGGACCTTAGAATTTCCAAACGGGAATCGGTACCATTGAGGAGTAACATTCCCATGTTCCCTGCCAGTTTATCAGGTAGAGGGAATGTTCAGTAGTCATATTTTGTTTTTGTTTTTTTTAAATCCTTACAATTTGGTATGAAATATTCAACAAAATACAAACCCTTTGATGGCTTCATTGCAATCACTTTCTAACAATTCATTAATTTTTTTTTAATAATTTTTAAACCTTTTTGATTAAAAAATAAAGTTTTAAAACGATTTTGTTAATAAACCCCGAACAAAATCTTTGTTAATTTTAAAAAAAATAAAAAGGGAAACCCCTGTTGCAAACGTTAATTTTTTCTTATCCCTTTTCTTAAATTAAGCCCCACACGTATCTGTATACAAATGCATGGTAAAAGCTGAAAGAATGTGTTGGTTTATCATTGGTTTAAAAAAAATAATGTTTGGGGTGAGCTAAAATGTGAAGGATAAATTTTTTTAAAACCCACTTCTTCATTAAGGCTAGTAAATAAAATGTATTATTCAAAATCTCTTGTCACTGGTGTTACTTCAATAGTCATTGGTGTTCCATAAAAGGTAACAATTGGTAGGGGTTTAAACAAATAATAAATTTGATTTTTTTATTTTCTTGGTAAAAAAATTACATTCATGGGCCTAAAAATTTTTTGAAGGAAAAATACTTTTTATAACAAAAAAAATGTTTTATTGGTGTTACATGTATATGATCTAAGTTGTATTGGCATTACCATATATTTAAAACGTTGTAAGTGGAAAAAAATATTTATTGGAAAAAAATTAATTACTTTCAAACACCATAAATTAAGTTTGCAAAGAAATACAAATAAATAATTTTTCTATATAAAGAAATATTTTGCCTCCAAAAGTACCTGTTTTGTCAATTTAACCATTTTATTGGTTTAAATTTAGGAAGTAATGCCAATGACGTAACACCAATAACTTAGTCAAAAATATTTAATCCAAAATTTTCCCTGGATAAAGTAAAATTTTGGCCACATGCTTTATTCACCTAAAAACATCTTTCAAAAGAGTTCAATGAATATCAAAAATGTTTTGAAATAACATGGAAACACCCGACAAAAAATTTTTCTGTTACTTTTTTTATTTGAAGTCCATCAATATGTTTGATATGAATATCAAGGAATAGTTTCTGTTGTTTTTGGTGAGAAGTGATTTAATATGATTTGGGACTGTTTATGTTTTTTTATAGGAATGATTTTTTGTAGCAAAAACAAAAATATAACACCAATGACACAGCTTTCTTGTACAGTCATATTTAATGCTTCTCATTAAATGGAAGATGGGGCTCATTTTTTTATTCAAAGATATTTTATTTAAAGTATTTTTTGCATACATGATTTTTCAGACAAAATTCCATATAATTTTTGGGATTTTTTTTTTTGAAAAAAAATTTCATTTCAAGAATGTCATTATGACGTCACGCATTCATTCACAGTCTAGACAGCCTAGCCCAAACCAGTTCAAACTGGGTTTTTTTTACTGAAAACAATAACAAATAACACACACACAAGACAGATTATAACAAGATACCTGTTTGCATCCTCTATAAAGTGCCGTGTGCAAAACATTAGGGGTCGTGTGCAAAAGAAATATACCTTTTACCTGTGTTTTCTTATATACCTGTTTGCATCATCTGTAAAGTGCCGTGTGCAAAAAGTACGATAAACTTACCTATGCATTGTGACGTCATTCACTGTATAAATACAATGTGATTATGACGTCACACTTTTTCATTTACAGTCTAGACAGCCTAGTCTAGCCAGCCTAACCGGTTTGAACTGAATTTTTTACTGAAAGACAATAACAAATAACACACAATACAAAAAACATGTGTGTGTTATGTCTGTCAAGTTATAACACCAGGTCACTTTTTTAAAAAACTTAGAATTTCTTTTTAAATTTTTTAAACTTTTTTTTAAATTAACTTTATAAATTTTTTTTTAAACTTTTTTAAAATAACTTTAAATTTTTTTTTTCTTATTAATTTTTTCTTTGGTAAACTCCCCTTATAGTTTTTAAGAAATAAACTAAAAAAAATCATGTAATACTACATCAGTGTTATGTTATTGTATGACTTCATCTTTTATACAGTCGGGTTCGGGGTTTCGGGCAGCCATGGCGAATTTTCGGCAAGATTTTACCCCAGTGAAAAAGGCTTGTAATCCACAGTGTAGGTCGTTTAAAGTTGTTTCACATTGTTTATGATTGTGATTATGTTATCGCTCACCTATATGTTTAATGTCAGCTATGCTAAATAACCCATTTCTGTGTAATTTGAGAGAATGTTTTGACATGTGGTTAAAGTATGGCGTGCTATTCATGTTATCATTTAAAAAGTCGATCCTAAATAAATCTGTCTTAAAAAATACATTTTACGAATGACATTTAATATGATTGATTAGAGTATAGGTATCCATATATAAGAGATATTATTTTGCATTACATTTAAACATGTTTTTCTGTCCTGTTTGTCTGTCAATTGTTGCTTTACTTCCTTTGTAAAATGAGGTTAAATTGAGTATCACTGAATATTGTATGCTTTTTTTTTCAGGATCAGCTAAGATGTTGTTTCACTGGATTATTTAATGGATAGACTTATTGGGCATATAATTGGATAATTCTGGTAAGTTTGTCTTTGTTTTGTTTACATTTCCTAAGGTCATCTTTGCATTTAATCATAATTATGTAAAGTTCTGTTTTGAATGTCAATACTGTATTTATCCTCATTTCATGTGATTTACACTTGTATAACCTGCATGTAACTCAGAGTGCATTTAATATTTCTATGATGGGTCATTCTATGATATTGAATTTAAATCAGAAAAATGTTCTCTAAATTTTGGTAAAATACATGGTATCTTTTACATTTCTGTCCCTTTTATCTGTAAATTATTGCTTTACTTACATTGTAAAATGAGGTTTAAGTTGTGTATCACTGAATTGTATGATTTTTTTTCAGGATCAGCCGAGATGTTATTTCACTGGATTATTTAATTGATTTTTTCAGACTTATTGGGCATATATTTGGATATCTCTGGTAAGTTTGTCTTGTTTTTTAATTGTTTACATTTCCTATGAAGGTCATCTTTGCATTTAAGCATGATTATATGGTTAATTTAATTACTGTGTAATACTTATGTGATCTGTTGTCTCTAACTTACATTCATATAAGCACACCCTTATTTAACCTAAAATATATTAACACATGATTAAGGGATCTTCAGAATATTAATAAGTCCTTTTGTATAAATTATGATATAATTTCATAATTCATTATGTATGTTACCCATGGCCATGGAATTCAGACTTACTAAATGGTGATCAAAGAGATATTAATTAGGAATCTAATTAGAGAAAAGGAGGAATTTACAAAAGATTAATCCTAAGTTATTTACTTTTTGTTTTGATTCTAAATATGTGGGATATATGGCATACATATATTTTCATTTTCACTTTTGTTTCTTAGTAATGAGCTTTTCAAAAAATTAAGGACTACATGTTGTAGTGATGATGCTAAAAAAAGATGTATTTTTCTGTATGCAGTACTGACAGATATTAAACAAAATTGAATCTGCTGTTAATAAAAAATCTTTTAGTGTCTAAATAATTAATTTGATAATCATTTTATTTGTGATATCAATACAGTAATTGTGCTTTTTTTTATTATCTAAAGATAACATGATGAACTTTTCTCATCTGGAGTTAATGTTAAAAACAATTTATTTTGAGATTAAAAACAAACATTTTCATGAACTTTTTTGGCATTGTACATGTTTGTTCAATTTTTAAACATGCATTGTTTCACACAGTACTCTGTCATATTAACAAAATGGTTTTATTTTCTATACAGTCCTCAACCTGGAAGATATGTATTGTTCCTAACCATCTATAATCCATTCTCTATGAAGTTCAGACTGTCTGCTCTTCCTTTGGAAATACACAGTTAGTCAACCAACATAGAAACACACAAACTTGAAGGTAAAGTTTCAATGAGATACAATTGTTATATATATTTATTTATTATTTTATTATTTTTTTTTTTTACATATGCATGTTTATAATTTTGAATTGATATGTAAATGATATATTTAAATAAAAAGGGCTTGGTGGTCATGGTCATTTTTTAGACTATATTGATCTCCTTTAGAAGAAGAAGAGCTCCATTTCAATATATATACAAAAATGCATGATCAAATTTTGAAACTAAAATGTATGAAAGTTTTCTTTGCCAAATGATAGTTAACAGCTGAAGATAGCATATCTATAGAATAAGTTAAATATGACTAATTTGTAACCACCCCCCCCCCCCCCAGCTTCCTTAATATCATAGTTGGTAAAGATAGCAAGTTTTGACTCCAATTGCTGATGAATTCTGAATTTCTCATTTAATATTAACATTATATCACAGGGAAAGAATACTATAATGTAGCACATCAGGATGACCAGAAAAGAAATCTTAATGACCCTCTTAACTATGTATAAAGACTGTAACCTTATAACTGATGTAAGATAATCTGATTGTGTGGAATTAAAATTCCCTGGTGTTTCTACTACCCAAGATCTTCTTATGAGTGCATGGGACTGTTGTAAACCTTCTCCTGTTTATAAAAAATATACCTTGGAGCATGACACTTTATTCATAAAAGGTACTTTCAATATCATTTCTATGAGTTTTTGTTCTTTCTTTTTAATAATCTAGTGTTATATCTCATTTAAACCCATTAATATGTATGCTTCCAAAATCTTAGATCTGTCTGTATAGTTTTTTCAGCTCTTTGAACACAAATACCCTGATTCAATCTTTTGAGGTAAACATGATAGAGACATCATAGATGATTATCAGAGTGTGTATCACAATCTTAACCATAAGGTCAATTTAAATGGTCTAAGGCACAACAAATGAAAGTGAAAACTTATTTTTTTTTTTTTTTATTAGAATACATAATTTTGTAATAAACAAATACTGGAAAAGTTACTCTCATAATAAGCCTTAATGTCCTCCAAGAGTTCAGTTTGGACTTCCTCCATTAATCCTTGTATCTTCTCCAATGGTTTTGTGGGCTAAAATTCATGTGTCTTTAACAACATTTTTTTTCTGACAACTGTTTTCTCTTATTATCTATAAACTTGACTTCTTCTCTAGTCAAAGGTCTTTCAGGGTAATCCAAGTAATTCTTACCCTCTTTTGGTAATAAATGGTTATATTCCTCATTGGCTTCTTCTGCAATCAAGGGTCTTTCTATGTAATCTCTGACAACATTAGGATCACCCTTCTTTGGACTTAATTGGCTATATTCTTGTTGAGAAATGATCTCAATAGTGCCATCTTTTTTTTTTTTTATTTTATTTGGTATACCTCTGTCTACATCTTTCTCTAAAAGAACTCTCTCTCCAAACTGAATTTTACTCATTCCTTTACTCTTTTCTTTACTGGAGGTGTTACCCATGGTTAATATGGAAATTCAAATTCTGATGTTACACCTTGTATTTATACCCTTTTTTGTCTATATTTAGAATTCCATCAAGCTTATATTATATAACAATTTTTTTTTTTCAACTAAGACATTATTTTTTTTCTATTTTCCAGGATTCTCTAGTGAGGGCTTATGGAAATGATCTATATCTACTCTCAGAATGGTGAAAGACTATCAGATTAAGCAAAGACTAACAGAATATCCTCTCTTGGAACACTGAAACAAGAAAAACAAACAGGATGGGGGATTTAAGAAGAACATAGATAAATATGATTTCCAACCAATTTAAGTACGATCATAGACTGTGGTTTACAGGATGACAAAGAAAGGACCCAGGATTGTATCTTTTACTGTCAGACACTGAGTATGGATAAGATGTAGCTATTTATCAGACTGAGATCTAGTCAAATCAAGTATTGAAAATATGATTTCTGATAGCATGAGCTCTTTAAAAACTATTTCTCACGGACCTCAAAGTATCTGAATGTGACTTTTATTTTGACCAATTCATATTGATGACTGTTGTTATGTATGGGAATTACACATTTAAACCTTTTATTTTTCATCTTATTTCTATAACCCCCTAGAAATTACACAGATATTCAGATGCTGGATTTAATGTTATTATTTAACTTTCCTGGAATTGTAAATATATTTTGTTTGTGTATGTATCATGTTTAATTTTGAATTTAAAATTGGTCTCAATAAGACCCCCAATAAAGATGCAAGTGTCCCATAATCTGTGGTTTAATAATATCTTGAATATCTTTATCATACCATATTCATCATACTAATTACATATAGAATGGTTGTAGGAATACACTTTGTTGTTTAGCACACTTTGTCAAGGTCAAAGCATAAGATTATTGAGATGACTTCTTTGACAATAATTTGTAACTTACAAACTTCACATCATAAGTACACAGATGAAGAATCAATAAGATATTTCTATAGATTTTTTGGATCATTTACTCCTGGGTAAAAGTTAGTTACTAACTGAGATTACTGATTTGAGTCCTGTAATGCAATAACTTAAACATTGTGTGATAACTTATAGACTTTATAAAAATTAGGTGCAAATTCTTAGGAAAGGATTGAAATGTTAATCAAATGTACAATGTTCAAGGGTGTTTATATGACTATTACTATGTAATACCTTAGAATTCTGTAAAAATTTTATTATCACTGCGTAGATAAAGACTGGTTGGAATAATTTATGTTTTGAAATAAGGTTTAGGGAAAAAAGTCAAGAATGTGGATATCATACTAATTACATATAGAATGGTTGTAGGAATACACTTTGTTGTTTAGCACACTTTGTCAAGGTCAAAGCATAAGATTATTGAGATGACTTCTTTGACAATAATTTGTAACTTACAAACTTCACATCATAAGTACACAGATGAAGAATCAATAAGATATTTCTATAGATTTTTTTGGATCATTTACTCCTGGGTAAAAGTTAGTTACTAACTGAGATTACTGATTTGAGTCCTGTAATGCAATAACTTAAACATTGTGTGATAACTTATAGACTTTATAAAAATTAGGTGCAAATTCTTAGGAAAGGATTGAAATGTTAATCAAATGTACAATGTTCAAGGGTGTTTATATGACTATTACTATGTAATACCTTAGAATTCTGTAAAAATTTTATTATCACTGCGTAGATAAAGACTGGTTGGAATAATTTATGTTTTGAAATAAGGTTTAGGGAAAAAAGTCAAGAATGTGGATATGACTTTTATTCAAATGGTGCATTACAGCAACTCTGGTGATTTACATACCTTCAGTCATAAATACATGTAGATAGGTATTTGGAAGACTCCTTTAGATTTTGAAATTTTTAATTCAAAAGTATAGAATTTAAGTTTGAAAGATTAAATGGCAGCATATCATTTGCTTGTGAATTAAAAAATAAATCCAAACATATACATCTTTGGATGATAATTGTAGCATTTTATCAATTCCTGGACTTCGGTCTTGATATCATCCTTTAATGTCCTTAAAATTTTAATGACTGTCTTTTAGTTTTAGTTGAATTAGTTTCTTTTCTACATGTGAAAATTACATCATCCAAAGAAGTTCTTCATCTGCATGTTATATGAAGAAGACAATTTTCATTACAGTGAAAGAGATTGTTTTGTTAAACATATTACATTGATGCACAAATATACTTTTAGATTTTTAATAGCTAGGGTTCATATTTCTTAATATGGAATGCTAAGTACTGTTGATTTCAATTTTTTGTGAACAAAAACATACTAGTAGAAAAAAAATGTACATGATGTGTTAGAAAAGCATGTGTAAACCTGATGACTTTATATTTGCTGATTAATTCAATTATGAGTTTCATCTTTGTTTCAATGTAAACATTTCTAAGTAGGGCACACATCAGAAACTCTTAAAATTCTGACTATCAGGGTTTAACACAACAATTCCAAATGATTTTTGGACGCTTTTTATGTATCGAAAAAAAAAAAAGACAAAACAGAATGTTTCTTAACAGATGTTCCAATGGAAAACAACCACAAAGAAATGATTTGATATGTTCTTTATGTGATTCATATAAAATGTATTTTGAAATTGTACCCTAACATTTATCTTTTGCATAAATACATTTTTTTTTTTTTTTTTTTTTTTTTGGTGGAGAATTTCTCATAACTTTGAAAAAGTAGTCTTATTGTATAATATGGTTAACTTAAAATTTTGTAGACTTAAAAGTTGTAAATGATGTGTTATACATCTTACATATGTTACCATTTCATTTAAGGGCATTCAGCATATATTGTGGTTTTGTCTTAAATTTGTTTGTTCATGTAATCAATAATTTGAGAATACTCAACTCAAATTAGTTAATGCATGAGAGAATAGGCAAGAAAATCAGGTTTAAGAAATGATTTTTACTATTTATAAGGGGTTAATCTATATATAATTGAATCTATAAGTACATTTAGTCTATACACTTAAGGTATTTGTTTATGAAATAAACTTGCATTTGAGCATTTTAAGACAATTGTAAACATTACTTTAACCAGTTTTAAAAAAATGATTAGATTCACTGTTACCATGTAATTCCTTGTAAAATAAATGAGTAAAAAAACAATTTTATTTGAGTCAGTTTTTTTTTAATGTAAATAAGAAGCATTGGAAGTTGGGAATATTTCACAAAGTTGATAGATCATAATTCTCACTAGGACCGTAGGAGTATAATGATTTAAGCATTAAAGAAACCATTTCATATTTCAATATGCAAACCATGTTTAGTCATGCAGTATATAGTTTACACTTGCCAAAAAAAAAAAAAATAATAAATGGTATCTCTATTCAGGGTCAATCCAAAGGTCAAAAAGGAATGAAAAAAAAAATTCTCTTCATGTATCAAACATGTAGGTATTATTGCAATAAATTCACTGTATTCATTTTTTTGTCCTCTTTCTATGTATGAAAAGCTCTGATTTAGGCAATCAAAATACAAAAAGCAAATGAGTTATGTCAAATGATGAAGGTATACACCAGAAATTAACATGGACAGAGAATTTTGAGTTTCCCTCAAATATGGTTGCCAAGGGATGTGAAATAAAAACAAAATGTGGATTCATCTATTAGGATTGAGACTTGTACATATTATGAATGATGAGTACTATGACATTAAGAATGACATGAAAGAAATAAGTTTGATTCAATTATATAAACAGTTCGTAATCCATACAGTCAAAGTGGAGGGCATATATTTTTCTTTATAGGCATAAAGTAACAAACACTCACCCAATGCATCAAAATTTTACTTTTTGAAGAAAAGGAACCCTGTTTACTTTGTTGAGTTGACTTTCATATTTTTGTGTTTGAAAAGTAAGACTAATGGTTTCTGACTAGTATAATGAGAACTTTTTTTTTTAAGAGTCATCAGATTGTTCTGATATTTTGGTTAAGATATCTGCATGACATCAATTAATTTGTTCATACAAAGGGATGAAAGCTTTTCCAGGTTTCTTCTTTACTCAGATTAGATTGTGTCTTGCTAATATATCCAACATATAAGATATACTCATCAAAGTCAAACAAAGGTAAATAAATGACCTTATTAAGTTTTTTAGTCAAAAGGTAAAAGAGATGTGGACATCTGCTAAATTTAATTGTTTAGTTAATATTCATCAAACTTCATGGATAGGTTAATTAAACAAACTTCATATATTTTGATTTTCAGGTCAAAGATCAGCACAATTTTTTTTTTTTTGCTAAACCATTGTTGTCTATGAATATCTTAACACCTCTATTGATTTTTCAGGTTAAAGGTCAATGCATTCCTGCTACAGTAAAAACTTCATTATAAGGATCTCGTAGTGATATTCTTTATTTGTAAGAAATTAGGTATAAAATCTCCCAACTCTTTCTATAATATGTCACTAAATGTGCTCCTTTATTTTTTAAAGAGTTTTACAAGCAAAATCATATACTGACTTTCAATCCTTCAAAATACAATTTATATTGAATCTTGAGATTCAGACTTTCAGACTTTTAGGCTTTCAGACTCTCAGGCTTTCAATCTTTAAAAACTTTCAAGCTGGAGGACTGAGTATTTTAATATTTATTTTGTAAGTCTTGTCTTTTTTTTTGTCATTATGATTAATCCTTAGTAATTCAAACTTTTCATGTTTGTAAAACTATAGTGTGAAAGTACAGTGTTTGTGTAATCTTCTTAATATTTATCTAAAATTACTGTTTTTAATACAGTCAAATTTAATTTGTGATGATCAAAATTTCCAAATTGCCTGACCTGTACATATTTAAAGTTTCAATATCATACACTCTTGAATATCCTTAAATATCAATATATTGATTAAGCATTTGCTATCAACCATACACTTGTTAATCTAAGGAAGGCTCTTACCATAAGTTAAACTCATGGAATTCTTCATGCAATTTTGAAGAATCTCTGTTATAAGGGATGGTAAAGACAAAAGACCCATAAATTTCCTAGAAGTAATAATTTTTAAAACTATATATCCACATTAAATTGGGGAACATTTTTATAAAGGAAAAGGGTTCTTCAAATGTTCCCCAATTTAATGTGGATATATAGTTTTAAAAATTATTACTTCTAGGAAATTTATGGGTCTTTTGTCTTTACCATCCCTTATAACAGAGATTCTTCAAAATTGCTTGAAGAATTCCATGAGTTTAACTTATGGTAAGAGCCTTCCTTAGATTAACAAGTGTATGGTTGATAGCAAATGCTTAATCAATATATTGATATTTAAGGATATTCAAGAGTGTATGATATTGAAACTTTAAATATGTACAGGTCAGGCAATTTGGAAATTTTGATCATCACAAATTAAATTTGACTGTATTAAAAACAGTAATTTTAGATAAATATTAAGAAGATTACACAAACACTGTACTTTCACACTAGTTTTACAAACATGAAAAGTTTGAATTACTAAGGATTAATCATAATGACAAAAAAAAGACAAGACTTACAAAATAAATATTAAAATACTCAGTCCTCCAGCTTGAAAGTTTTTAAAGATTGAAAGCCTGAGAGTCTGAAAGCCTAAAAGTCTGAAAGTCTGAATCTCAAGATTCAATATAAATTGTATTTTGAAGGATTGAAAGTCAGTATATGATTTTGCTTGTAAAACTCTTTAAAAAATAAAGGAGCACATTTAGTGACATATTATAGAAAGAGTTGGGAGATTTTATACCTAATTTCTTACAAATAAAGAATATCACTACGAGATCCTTATAATGAAGTTTTTACTGTAGCAGGAATGCATTGACCTTTAACCTGAAAAATCAATAGAGGTGTTAAGATATTCATAGACAACAATGGTTTAGCAAAAAAAAATTGTGCTGATCTTTGACCTGAAAATCAAAATATATGAAGTTTGTTTAATTAACCTATCCATGAAGTTTGATGAATATTAACTAAACAATTAAATTTAGCAGATGTCCACATCTCTTTTACCTTTTGACTAAAAAACTTAATAAGGTCATTTATTTACCTTTGTTTGACTTTGATGAGTATATCTTATATGTTGGATATATTAGCAAGACACAATCTAATCTGAGTAAAGAAGAAACCTGGAAAAGCTTTCATCCCTTTGTATGAACAAATTAATTGATGTCATGCAGATATCTTAACCAAAATATCAGAACAATCTGATGACTCTTAAAAAAAAAGTTCTCATTATACTAGTCAGAAACCATTAGTCTTACTTGTCAAACACAAAAATATGAAAGTCAACTCAACAAAGTAAACAGGGTTCCTTTTCTTCAAAAAGTAAAATTTTGATGCATTGGGTGAGTGTTTGTTACTTTATGCCTATAAAGAAAAATATATGCCCTCCACTTTGACTGTATGGATTACGAACTGTTTATATAATTGAATCAAACTTATTTCTTTCATGTCATTCTTAATGTCATAGTACTCATCATTCATAATATGTACAAGTCTCAATCCTAATAGATGAATCCACATTTTGTTTTTATTTCACATCCCTTGGCAACCATATTTGAGGGAAACTCAAAATTCTCTGTCCATGTTAATTTCTGGTGTATACCTTCATCATTTGACATAACTCATTTGCTTTTTGTATTTTGATTGCCTAAATCAGAGCTTTTCATACATAGAAAGAGGACAAAAAATGAATACAGTGAATTTATTGCAATAATACCTACATGTTTGATACATGAAGAGAATTTTTTTTTTCATTCCTTTTTGACCTTTGTATTGACCCTGAATAGAGATACCATTTATCTTTTTTTTTTTTTTTTTTTGGCAAGTGTAAACTATATACTGCATGACTAAACATGGTTTGCATATTGAAATATGAAATGGTTTCTTTAATGCTTAAATCATTATACTCCTACGGTCCTAGTGAGAATTATGATCTATCAACTTTGTAAAATATTCCCAACTTCCAATGCTTCTTATTTACATTAAAAAAAACTGACTCAAATAAAATTGTTTTTTTTACTCATTTATTTTACAAGGAATTACATGGTAACAGTGAATCTAATCATTTTTTTAAAAAAACTGGTTAAAGTAATGTTTACAATTGTCTTAAAATGCTCAAATGCAAGTTTATTTCATAAACAAATACCTTAAGTGTATAGAAAAATTTATGTACTTATAGATTTATCAATATATATAGATTAACCCCTTATAAATTTTGGCAAAAACAAACATTTCTTAAATTACTGTATACTTGTATTTTATTTTTGACTCTTTACCTGATTTTCTTGCCTATTCTCTCATGCATTAACTAATTTGAGTTGTAAATGTATTTACTATTAAAAAAAATAAACAATACTTCATTATCAAATTATTGATTACATGAACAAACAAATTTAAAACTTTAAAATTTTCAACTACATGACAAAACCACAATATATGCTGAATGCCTTTAAATGAAATGGTAACATATGTAAGATGTATAACACATCATTATACAAACTTTTAAAAATCATTTCTTAAAAATTTTATTCTTGCCTACCATATTATACAATAAGACTACTTTATATCAAAGTGGTAACATATGAGAATATTCAACTCCACCACAAAATTTTAAGTTAAAGACTACTTTTTCAAAGTTATGAGAAATTCTCCACAAAAAAAAATGTATTTATGCAAAAGATAAATGTTAGGGTACAATTTCAAAATACATTTTATATGAATCACATAAAGAACATATCAAATCATTTCTTTGTGGTTGTTTTCCATTGGAACATCTGTTAAGAAACATTCTGTTTTGTCTTTTTTTTTTCGATACATAAAAAGCGTCCAAAAATCATTTGGAATTGTTGTGTTAAACCCTGATAGTCAGAATTTTAAGAGTTTCTGATGTGTGCCCTACTTAGAAATGTTTACATTGAAAATATGAAACAAACAAAGATGAAACTCATAATTGAATTAATCAGCAAATATAAAGTCATCAGGTTTACACATGCTTTTCTAACACATCATGTACATTTTTTTTTCTACTAGTATGTTTTTGTTCACAAAAAATTGAAATCAACAGTACTTAGCATTCCATATTAAGAAATATGAACCCTAGCTATTAAAAATCTAAAAGTATATT